GTTTTCAGTTTAAGGCCTGCAGCTTGTGGGGGACGTGGTTCAGACCTGGGGCTGTGTTTGCAGCAATCAAGCATGTGTGGCTCAAACCAGGCACGGGACTGAAGTCCCGAGCTGGCAGGGAAAACCCGCTCAGAGGTAATCTATGCACATCGGGTGGCAGTTCCCAAAGGGGTTTCTGTGACCCAACCCGTCACACTGGGTCAGAGCCCGCAGCACAGGGGCATGGAGATGTGACGAACTGGGACTGTTTGTAATGTGGTCTTTGAATGCTGAGTGGGGAGTGTTGGCTGGGAAGACAGGGGAGTGTGGCTAGGATGGTCTGCATGGGGGGATGGGAGACTGGCCGTGAGGGAGAATACCTGAGCATGTAACATAAGAACCCAGGAAGGGGTTAGAGGCCAGGTGATACCTTGGCCCGGGAAACTGAACAAAGGCTGTGGGAGGAGATGCTGGAGGGAGAGTTCAGAGCTGGCTGGTGACATGGCTGGGAGGCAGATGGGGCTCTGACCCCCCCCCAAGGGGGCTGTGGTGCCCTGGGACCCCAAGATGCACCTAACTGAGGGGGGTCCTGTTGTCTGTGCCTGCAAGACCTGTCTTGGACTGTATTCCTGTCATCCAAATAAACCTTCTGCTTTACTGGCTGGCTGAGAGTCATGGGGCAGGGCTCGCTCTGGGGCAGGGCTCGGCGCTCCGGGAGGGGCAGTAGAGATGGATAATGACACCTGGATGATGCCCCCTGATGCTCCCTCCCTCTCTCGCTGTCCCTGCCCACTCAGACCGTGCCCCAGGCTGAGACGCCCTCCAGAGGCTGCCCAGCGAGTCGCTTGCCCCGGTACCTGGTACCCGACGATCGCCCCTTTGCAGGGCGACAGCAGCTTCCACCTGAGGGTTTTGGTGCTGGGATCCAGCGGCTCGATCTCGGGTTGGTCTGGGGCTGAAAGCGAAGGAATCGCAGGTCACTGACCAGGCCCGGGGACGAGCCCCCGTGTGCAGAGCACTGGGAGGGGGCTCCCGGCACAGGGGTCAGCGCTCTGGGCCGTCCCTGCAGCAGGAGGGCGAGGGCTAGGCCCTGCCACCTCTCCTGGACGGTGCTGCCTGGCTGGGCACGAGGAGCTGGCAGCGTCCTACAGCTCCTCCCCGGCAGCCCCCGGCAGCAGAGACACAGAGCTCCTGTCCCTGCTCCGGCTGCACGAGGGGCTCAGACACCACTGTGAGGGGCTTGGTACCGGGACTGGACTGGATGGATGGATTGCTGGGAAGGTGGGCAGCCGACCAGCTGGGCTAGGACAGCTAGTGGGTCCTCTCCCAACTGTCCCATTCCTGGGCCTTCAGAGCCCCAAACTCCCCGTGGGATCCACCCAGGGCCAGCTCCAGGCACCAGCCCACCAACCTTGTGCTTGGGGCGGCACCTGGAGGGGGGCGGCGCAGCGCTCCGGCCCCCGGGGAGAGCGGGACCACGGCCGGGCTCGCCGCCCTCCCCCCGGCGCT